AGCAGGAATTACTCATCAAGGTGAATCCAATAGAGTGCGATAATACGATAATGCATTGGGGCCTGCTTCGGGGTTTTTAAATTACTTCCTTTTTTTAATGAATAAGGATGATGAATTTGACTCTGGAAACCTACCTGGAGATTTACATTAGCAAATTAACAAGAATGCTTGCTTATGGATTACTAGATCACTTTATAACTTCATGATTGAATTCAAACTGCCAAACTAAATTTCTTCTTGCTAAGAGTGTAATCAAAACCATTCAGGGAACTCTTGCCTGAGAAGTTGTAGATATAAACAGCAATTGCTTATTTCAGTAAACACACTTGTTCACTGCCAAACTAATCACATTATTGCAGATGGAACCCCTGTACGCAGCTTTTCTTCACTCTCGCATTTAATTGACAGCAAGATGAATCATATCTCTATCAATTCCTAGTGTGCTAATCACTTTGCTTGTATTTCAATGCTTATCTCTGTGCTCTTGCTATACCATCGGCTATCTGCTTGGGACTCTGGTCTGTGTTTTACTATAAGCCATTTGTTGTAAATGTGTTCAAAAACAAAACAAAAAATATAGTCAAACCCAAATGATGCTAGTACTTCTTGAACCCTGAGTTTTGTTTTTCTTGTGTTCTCTTATTTTCCTGAAGTTAAGTTGTACACTTTGAAAGTAGTCACTTCTTTTGCTGAAGAAGGCATGTCTGGAAATGCAGCGCAAAACTGATTTTGAGGATGGGGATTTCCGCTTTTTTAAAGCTTGAGAAAGTTGAGCGTATGTAGCTGAACTTGATCAACCAGAACGCATGCAAGACTAAGCCACGGGTGGTTTTGGTCGTCACAGTTTCTGCCTTGTCACCGTTGTCTCCAAGTCGCAGGGTGACATTTAGGGAAGTTAGGAAATTGGCATCGGCTGTCTGTCTGCACGCTCTGTAATGAGACAGCGCTAGAAAGCATGCTTAATGCAGCAGCTTACTGAGGAAAAAACAGAGGCAGTGTAGGAAGCCAGACAGCAATACTTGCTGTGCAACCCAGAAAGCTGCAGCGTTGTCGCAGTTTTTGGGTATTCAGCAGGAAAAAAACCTTTCATGTGCTGCTTTCTTGTCCCCGTTTGGGAGGGGAAGCTGTGCAGAGCAAACCTCCGCAGAAGCAGGAGGGTCATCTTTAGAGCCACGGAGGAAGGAGTGGCGATGGGAATGGCTGGATCCTCTCAGTGTCTCCCTCCTTGTGTCCGTCGCTCCCTGGAAAAACACGTTCTGGAACTGCATCAGTCTACCATATTTAGGGATATAAAAGTTTCTACCATACTTTGGGGGATATAACAGTTTTTAGCGCTGCTAGAGATGAGTAGGCTGGGGAGAGAGCGGGGCAAGAGGCAAAAGTAGGTGGGAATGTACGGAATTCGTTGGTCAGAAGAACAATGTGGAAGCTGAATTTCTTTGGAGTGCCAAAACTTTGTACCTCATCTGGTGATCTTTGCCAGCTGCCACGTGTTGGTACGTAAACGTGTGAGCGGGAGGGGAGCTGTAATTGGGAGGCTCATCAAGGTTGACCTGTCTGCTTCACTGACCCAACCTCTCCGCTGTCTCCTATCTCCTTCAGCTCCTGGGGCTGGAGCGCGTATGTCTCTCTTTGAGGGTTGCGGTGGGTTTAAACAAGCCTCTAATTAGGAGAGCTATCATTACTGTGCATTTGTAGTTGGTGACTAAGCCCGGGCCACAGCTGGTTGAGTGCTTAATGCGGCTGCTCGTGTGCCCGGAGGGGAGCCCGTGCCCAAGCTGGGCTGGGGTCTGGGCTGGCTGGGCTGGAGGTGACCCCAGCGGAAACCACAAGCACGGTGCTCGGGGAAAATCAGTGGTGACGCCACAGCTGGAGTCATCAGTTGCCAAATTTTGGTTGTTTTAAATCTTAATTTTCACTTTATTCCTGGGAAGATATAAATCCTTAATATAAAGTGAAGCACTCTCTCTCTAGTCCAGCTTTCCTCATTGATTGAGTTGTAACACACGTGCAATGGAAGTGGTTGCTGCTCTCCTAAGTAATTTGCATGAGCTGCTCGCATTATAGTCAATATAATCCATAATTACAGGATGAACTTGATCATTAATTATCTTTTGAATGTGCACTTCCTTTAGACGTGGCTACTAGTTACTAGATTTTATTTTTGGTTGTAATAGTAGCGATAGGAACATTGAGAAATAATGCATTTCAATCGTAATACTGCTGAAGAATGAGCAAATAATTTTGAACAAAAATACTTAGGATGTACGCACCATATAATCGGAGTTCAGGCTTCTTGTGCGTGGCGGGACTGGCTGTTCATTTACAGTGGACGTGTTGCAAGAATCGCTTTTGCCTTTCACTCGCGAGGTCCGCTCAGAGCTCTATGACAACCAGTGAGTTGCTTGCTGAAGAGGAGCTTCGCCGCTGCACCAGCTACGCACAGAGACCGTTCAGCTGCGCGCACGGACAGATGGTGGCAGGCGGCTGAGCTACCTGTTGGCAGCCAGGCTGTCTTCATCTGGCAGGTGTATGTTCCCTCCCCATTGCAAGTGCCAGGGAAAGTGGCTGGAGTTCCTAAAACCTGGAGGTGGCCTTTGTTGGTGGAGAGCTTTTCATAACCGCAGCGATGTAGGAGCATCTATCTGGGGAAATTCAACATGCGGGCCGAGTAACGATAAGACAGCAGGGCAGGGTGGAGGGTGCTTGTGATGGTGTTTGCAACAGGAGGCTGGGCTTAGGAGCTAGTTCTGTGGCAACTGCAATTCACGGTTAACACTGCAACAAGCAATAAAGTTATTTCTGTAATTGAACAACTTGCCCAGTTCAGTTTATTCAAGGAACGTTTGGTAATAAAAACTTAAATGAGAGCGTGTCCTTGCACATTGCAAGCAGTGGATGGAAAGAGATTAGACAAATCGTTCTAGATGATAGTAAGAAAGTAGTATTTAGCGTTTTGTCACTCAAATTTGTATTGGTTTCTCTCCTGTCTAGGAGATCTGGACACCAGCTATTTTACAACAGTTAAGTCTGCCATTTGGACTGAAGACTGGTTTATGCTCAGACCTTAGACTATAGGTTTTAAACAGGTTTTTCTTCTGTCGAAAGTGTTTATAATTTTCAGGAAACTCTGAAAATGTTACTTCTTAATTTCCTGTTTGTTTATTTTGATCCATTCCAAATGGGTCGATTAGTTCTTCTGTCCTGTTCTCCTGGTCTGTGTAGTGGAGGCCTTCATTTGTTTTCACATATGTATTTCAAATCAGTAGGGGTTAAAACAGTTCCTTCGGAAGTGCTAGGTACCAATAAAAACACTCCTCTCAATCAAACAAAATTCAGAGTGCCCAAACCTTGTTATTTCTGAAAGAGCCGGTTCGAGCAATGTTCAAGGTCGGGGGGGTCTGCTGCCGAGCTAGGATGTTCTGGCTTGGTGGCCAAGGACCTCGACTGCCCTTCCTGTATCGTAAATGTAGGTGCTTTGTCTGCACTTACGCACAAGTGATTACTCTGTGGTGGAAAAGATGGGTCCTTTGGGTCTTCAAAAATAGTGGTGAGAGAAATTCACTGACTAGTTTTGTGCAGAGTGAGGGACAATGGTGAATGAATAAAATTTGGGAGGAAAAGAGCTGGAACAAAAAGCAAAGCTAGAGCTGAGAGCGAAGAGAAAGCAAGCATGACTTTTGGGGTCTTGCACTCTATTTAACTGTCTGAGTAACTGCAAGTGATACCTGCCTACAGCCCGTTGTATGTTAAATTAGCGTGATGAATATGAACCCAGAGTGATGGCACTCATAACATTATTGCTATGAAGTATGTGACCAGTAATAGGGTTTGGGGATTCCTGTGGCTCTAAAGGTTTTCAGAATTCAGTTTACATTAATCTTAACTGAAGAGAGCCTTCAGAAACTGGTTAAAACCTTAAAATCTAAACAGTGGCCCATATTAGTTGAGCAAGCATGGCAGCCTTTCTCACCACGGTCGCTAAATGGAGAGCAGCTCTGTCCCATGGAGTATCGGAGTACGAGAGATTCTCAAAGCCATTCCAGTAAAATCTGAACTTGTCTGGAAACTGCCACATCATTAAGTTTTGTCATTTTAAAGAAAAGTTGTATTTTAGCATGCTGTAGCATGTAAATTGCTTTGCTTATAAGATTTTTAAAAAGGATATGGAAATCATGTTTCTTTGGTGTTTTAGTATACTATATTTGACAGTAAACCGCAGCGTCTCAAGAACCTGATCAAATATGGGCTTAGATTAATGCCACTGTACAAGTAATCAATTTTAAAATATAAAATGTACATTCATCTTTAAGTCCTTTGCTTTGATGGATTTTTTTGGTAGAGAGTTGAGAGCCTATCCATGTGTCTCTTTATTAAAATACTTCCCGAGCATCCTGTAACATTTGTCATAGTAGAAGACTATTCCTAGAAATAATTAATATAGGTAGTAGCGCTTGAGTACAGCATTATGTTGAAGTAGGCAAGATGAAGTAAATGTGTGCTAACCCTTTATGGTTTTAATAGTTTGTTGCTCCATAATGTTTTAATTCAGTATCATTAAATACAGGTGAAGTGACTGGGAATATTTGAGTTTACCTTTATGGTTACAGAAAATGCTGTGATTTGGTTGTGTGTGTATGTGTACACGTGTGTGTCTATAAACAATAACTACAGATCCCTGTGTGTTGTTTTTAATCGTTGCAGGGTACCTTTGTGCATGTTCAAGCTGCAGAAGCTGTGACTGTTCCAATAAAGAGCCATTTCCCCACAAGAGAACAACAGATTTTGGCGCTGCAAACCACAAGTGAATTTGATGTCCTTGTTATAGGCGGAGGAGCAACAGGATGTGGCTGTGCTTTAGATGCAGTCACTAGAGGTGAGGCTTGAAAATTTAATTGCATTCTTATTCTTGGATTACGGGGTTTATAATAAATTTATCAGACCGGCTTTTCAAAAGTACTTGAAGATAAAGAAGGTGTACTCTGAATGCCTGGTTATAAAACTTCCTTCTGTTCTCAGAAGCTAAAATGAACTTGAAGGAAAAAAAGCCATTGTGTTTGGTTGTTTCAGCAGTCTTTATTGTCTAGGTGCTTGTATACAGTTTTCTAGCAAACCTTTTTGCTGGGGCCTCTTGGGTGGACTTATTCTCTGGTGCTCCTTACTTAGTGGGTTTATCTGTAGTCATATTTCACTTGTTTGTGCAGGAGAATATCTGCAGCAAAGAGAAGACAAGACTTGAACAGCAACCATTTTGAAAGGGCAAGCGTGAACTCTAGATGAGGCACAGTGGTTCTCCAGCTCATATTTCTTACAACATGAGATATCTTCAACTTCTGCGAAGGAGTTGTAGCTGCTTAGGATATTGCAGGTTTGGAGAAGTCTGTCTGGATTTTCAGTGAAGGGTACTAGCACCATTCAGTCTGAAGGCACATACAGTAGATCTGTGCTCCGATTTCCCCTCTTTTTGGGGGATTAGCTGTGTAACTGGCTTAAGAAGCTACTAGAAGCAGCAGAATTGATGTTAACTTAATGCATAGCCTTAGCTTACGGAAAGCTCAAGGTAAAACGAGTTTAAGCTAATTCTTTCTACCTGGCTTTTGCAGGAGGATGAGAATGTGTATGGTGACAGTCAGTTGTTGCCCACTCGACGTGCAGACGTTGCCCAATAGCTCATGCAGTCAGTCAGACGTGCGAAAAACTCTGTTTGGGGTGTGAAAAAGCAGGATGCTAATGTCCGCTCTGTGTCATCCACCTCATGCAGTAACTTTTGAAATTGGCCAGCAGGTTCAATCAAATCTGGTGGTTCTCAAAGAGAATAAGTAGTTTTAAAAGTTTACAGAAAATAGATCTTCAGATGCAGAGATGAGAATGCACGGGTACTGTTTCTGCAGGAGAGGCTGTAGCGTCAATAGCGTTCTAGTAAAACTCTGTATTCCCCCAGAGTATCGTATTTTTATCCAAAAAGCTATGTAAAAGATTTGTGAGAAAAGCTTGTCTTGGAATATGTGTTCTCAGTTGTTTTTGGTACAATCAGCCAATGAAAGACAGAACCAGCCTTCCTCGGTTTCTGTGTTTGTAGACTTTGTTTCTGGGTTTGAAGATAAAATAAAATAAAAAAAAAGTGTAAAACATAGTAGATAGCCATAATGTTCTTCAGGTTCCTTAACCTGTAGATACACCTCAGAAACAAGGGGCAAAACCTGACTCCAGGAGTGGTTTGTAGTTTGATTTGGAAAACACTTGTCCAGAAGGTGTGATAATTCTGAAATAGATAAAGCAGTAAGGTCTCTACCACTGGTAGATACGTACAAATTCAAATCTGGTTATTAATTCTTTTCATGTATTATTAAAGATAACTTGGGATCTCTTCACTTCTGCCTCTGCTATATTGTGGTAGAAAATGTAGTTGTAAAGCACACAGAAATTATTATATGTAATCTATGTTTACCCTTCTACTAGATATTCTGATTATATCAGTGGATTTCTGAAGTGTGAAATATTCCTAGGCATTTGGTTAATGAATTGTGTATTGTTGCTGTTCATTCATGGAACTTGCTCTTTTATTATGTTTGCTTCACTTAACAACAAATTTTGCTTTTCATGCGTTTGATACATCTTTGCCAAATTATTTCTGATTGTATCCATTAATCTTCAGTCACATTTGACAAAAATAAATTGCTCTGATCTTTGGAAGTTACCGGTAATAATTAGATTTTTTTTTTTTTTAAGGACATAAAAGTTTTGGGAGACCAATAATGCTAAAATGTATGTTGACCAACCAATAACATAAAGCACCCCTCAAAGAGGGCGAAGGGAAGACCAAGGGCTAACTGCTGAGGCGGATGATGCTCTCCTCCTCGGCTATGCATCGTCATGTTGTTGCTGCTAGTTTTGGTGGCAACGTCACTGCATTTAATTTACTTTTTGCCTTGCCTGCCTACCTTTAAAATTCTGCCAGTGATGGAGGGGGCCTGTTATGCTAACGGATTGTCCTTCCACATAGCTTTTATAAGTGAAAGGTTGCTGCCTACTTGCCCTACGGTGCTCGTCTTGGTTGGGTTTACTCACGCTGGGTGCTGGAAGTCAGTGGTGCTTGCCCTGTAGGTATGTGCCAGAGGATGTGGCCAGGCTGTTGCCTGTATCTTATCATCAAAAGGCATCTGTTAATCATCTGTTTCTTGCAACTTTTCCTTTCACCTAACTTCCGTCACAGAGCCTGGCATCAGCCTCCTTCACGAAGAAGGTGCTGGCGCTTCCCTTGTACAAGGGATGCCGTGTAGACAGCGTTGGGGTCTATGGTTTTGTAGCGACTTCCATATGACATGGCGTGCCTTCACCCATGGAAAGCTTTTTCCTGGCCTTCAGGGTAACTGGGAACTTGTGCAACGAACATGCCAACCTCGCCCCAAGTGTTAGAATAAGCATTGCAACATTCCTCGTAGAGCACTTTGTGTTCTGGGTTTGCGTGACCGTCGGCGAGCCCTGTGGTTACCACTTCCTTGTGGTGGTCAGACTGTCAGTGCTGGCCAGCGTCAGGGAACACGTGTGCGCAGTTTTGAGTAAATGTTTTTCTGAAATACTTAATAATATTTTGTAGCAAATGTTTTGTGTATGCGTGCGCCCTTTGCATAGGTAATGTGGAAAAGGAGGATGTCTGTGTGCTGTATGAGCACTGTAGTATCTGCATAGTAAGCTGTAGATGAACTTTTTCCCTCTGCTACGCCTCCTAGGTAAGCTGCTGTATTTTGTATTAAGCCTCAATTATCAAACAATTTTGCGTATAGGGCAGAATTCTGTATATGTGTACCTCGTTCTCTGGTGAGCTCTCCCTGAGCGGTGGGCATGCCCATGGCTGGCTCTCCTCTGGTTTTGGGCACATCTTAAGCAGACAAAGATGCCAGTTGTCTGCCTCTCTGGTACGCTGTTTAAATTGTTAGTGTGATAGGTTTAGAGCTCTCTGCTGCAAAGAGTTAAAAGTATTCGTGAAAATATTCTGTTCCTGCCATGAATACGAACTATAATTTGCTTGAGGGAGCATGGCCCCTATAATGTACTGTAATGCCTTTCTATTGTGAAATATCCAGGTTTTAATGTGCTTCTGTTTAAGTTCTGTTTTGACTTTTCCCTTAGGAAGGAGGCTAAAATTTTTCATTACAATATAGACAGTGCACTACACTTTGAATACAAATTTATCCATGTACAGAGTAATTTTTCTTCTGATTGTCTCTACCCTAGAGAAGTGTCTTTAATGAATTACATACAAATTGTGTAATTTAAGAAGTTAATTTGGTTTTCTGGTAACACAGGACTAAAAACAGCCCTTCTAGAAAGAGATGATTTCTCATCAGGGACCAGCAGCAGGAGTACTAAATTGATCCATGGTGGAGTGAGGTATCTTCAGAAGGCCATCATGAAGTTGGATTTTGAGCAGGTAATTGTTTATGCTGGTTGTTAAGCAAAAATTGCTGGTAGACACTTCCACTATCCCAATTATATCCAAGTCTCCTTTTTTATTTTTTCAATGCTTGACTGTTGTGTTCCACAGCTACTGTACATAGAAAGTGTCTTCTCCGGTTGAGCTTTCCGGACTGGGGAAATCGGTGCTGCTGCCTTTGGCTAATTTTTTTTATGGGCAGTCTAGTTGCCATACCTTGCAGACTGTGTATCCTCTGGGGAAGGAGGGCAGAGACAGGGCTGCCTTCAGAAGAAAAAGAGCTTCCTACCTGTCATGATCAGAACTTGGGGGAGTGAGTGGTTGTCCTGTTTATTTCGGGACAGAAAACATGGTAAATGAGTGATTATACATAAGGTAAATGAGTGATTATGTATAAATGCTTTTATGTATTCTTCTGTTGGTGGAAGCATGATGTTCTTGTTTGGGGAAATTGATTTGTCTTCTCACTGAAACCTCTCTAACTTAATGTTTTAGTGGTTATAATACCGCTACAGAAACGGTGACTTCTCAGGGCAAAAATGTATAAAACGTGCAGTTATCCAGCTATAGAAATCAGCCTTCTTTTTTGCCAAAGAACAACTTCATATTGATTCGTATTGATTGATTTGGAGAACACTTCTGCATTTGCAACTCGGAGTTAGTATGGGATTTAATTGTGGGGATCAGCACAGAAGCTATACCGTGGGATAGCTCTAACCCTCCTTAAGTGCCTCCTGCCCACAGTTAGGAGTAACACAGCTTTATGTTCAAATGCAAAATCATTCAACTGACCTGCCAAGACACCAACATGAAACCAGTGAAACTTAATTTTCTTGGGAAACTTACTTAACTTCTGATTTGTTTCAGCAAATCTCAGTGTGTCTTTGAAAGAACGGTAAACGTGAGAGCTTCAGTAAACAGTTTCTCATTAAATGTTGCACATAGAGACAAAACTGAGTAACGTACACTTCTATTTTTCAGTACAAGATGGTGAAAGAAGCACTTGAGGAGCGCGCAAATCTGCTCGAAATTGCTCCTCACCTATCAGCTCCTTTGCCGATAATGCTACCTGTTTACAAGTAAGCTCTGCTATAATATCTCTCCTTTACCATTGCTTTTGACAAGCGAGCTATTTCCCTGGAGAAGTTTCCAGGTGCCTCTTTCCAAGCATGTCTTTAAACCTGTCACAAGCTTTGTCCTCCAGGAGGTGAGATGTTGCCGTATTGTAGAAGCATTAAATTCTCTTACGGCACCGACCAGCTATCGCTGCTGTCTGGGAGCACCTCTCAGACTTCAGCTTTTCCGTGCATTTCTACCACCCCAGTGCGGTGGAGGAGGGCAGCCCGCAGCTGGAATGAACTCTCATGCCTGGGGTGTTACTTGCTGCTATTTCCAGTACATCCTTGTCTCCAGCACATGCTGTCATAGCGCTCTTAGCAATGTGCTGTTTAGTCCTTACAGCCACCAGTGTTCAGGGCAGTAATTCGGTGCATTTGCCTTCCGCAGCACACGACAGCTTGGTATTGAGAGAAGAGTTTGCCTCTCGCATGAGAGAGACTGACCTTAAGTGATTTGGGTTAGGTTTTTAGATCTGTAAGAACAGGTACTGGCTGTAACAGGCGGCTTAGAGCAGTGAGCTTTTGCTGAATGATCTTAATGTATGGCTTTATTCCTGTCTTGGTAGAAGGGGCTTGTAATAGCTGGAGCTCATCTAGGTCGGGGTCAGCTGCGTTTATTTGGTCCTGTTTGTGCAGGAGGCATGAGTTGAGATGTGTGTTTGAGGAGACCTTTCAGCTTGCACATATGGCCTGGTTCTTCCCTCAACACATAACTTTAATATCTCAGCTTGCACTGAAGTACAAACAGCCAGTTTGCGATCCTAATTCTAGAATAAATAAAGCTTTGAATCTGCTTGATTAACTGCACTGAGTAGATCAGTTGAAAACAGTAACAAACAATACATAAGTTCTTGCATATTTACATTATATTGTGATACAGTGAATTTCTGTGATGGTACAAAGTAAAACTGGTGAAATACAACACACTGTGGTATGTAACATGTTTATATTACAATAACAGTGTGTGCATGCACTTTTAAATTTTTTTTTTTTTTAATTTTATTTCATGGGGAATTTTTTTTTTTTTCCCCCTGCAGATGGTGGCAGTTGCCATACTACTGGTTTGGAATAAAACTATATGACCTCGTGGCTGGAAGTCAATGTCTGAAAAGTAGTTATGTCCTTAGCAAGTCAAGAGCCTTGGAGCTCTTTCCAATGCTACGCAAAGACGAGCTTGTTGGAGCTATTGTCTACTATGACGGTATGTTGCCTTTCTGTGCTTTTATTATTATGTTTTGCTGTGTTTTGGGGTGGGGAGGGAACACAGGTATGGGGAGGGAACACAGGTATGCAACTGTAGATCATGTACCTCGACTTTCTAAAGGGAAGAACAACAACTTGAAAGATTCAGCTTGCATCTTAAGCATTAATTTGGTAGATAAATTATGGTTTTCACAACAGTAACTTACTGGATGTAGGAGAGAATGTATTAGCTTTCTTGGCTAGTAGGTATAGTGATATGTGAAAACATTCTAGTGTTCTGGTTATTCCCTACAACTTTCCAGCTGTGCATGATTTTGCTATACACATCTCAGACTGAACACTTCTTTCTGAGGTATCGTAAGTCAAGAAAGTGTGATCGTTCCAGTGGTGTTAAATGGTTTGCTGTAGCACTTCCACTGTGCAAGTAACTTCAAACCCATCCAGATGACCTGGTTGCTGGTTGTGGTTCTTGCACTGGGTTGGATGAGGCCTGGACCAATTGCTTTTTGTATCACCAGTAAAACTGGTTGCTCTGCAAAGACAGGGTTCATTGTAATTATAATCAAATACTAGAGATTGCTATAAGGCATGAATGGTTTCTGTTAAAACCCCCTTACATTTAAAGCGTTACAAATTCATGAGAGGGAAAAATGCTTCCAGCTTGAGTTATTTAGTCTATTGTATCAGCTAGCTTTAGGTGTGTTTTTGTATAACACTTACACAAAATCAGTGTCTGAGTGGGAGAAAATGAAGATGCTTTCTGCAAGTCTTTTGATGTTCATTCAAAATAGAATGATGATTTAATAGAACTCATTGCAGTTGTCCAGAAATAGCAGGTTTTGTGTTCAAAAGTGTTCACATGTATTCACGTTTGGAAGGAGCGTCACTTTTGCTTGTAATGTGAGAATGGATCAGCCTTTTTGTCTTGTTCTGTGAAGTAAGTCTAGTCGTAAGTCCCTAGCATGGCTGTATAGCAACAGGCAGCACTGGATCTTCTAAGCAAAGAACTTCTTGGCTCTGGCTCTGTCCCTTCAGTCTCTACAGATGCACAAGGCAATCTGAAGCAACCCTGGTGAAGGATCAGTTGACTTACTTGACAAATAACTGCCTAGAAACTTCGCTTGTCTGGAATATCGGTGTTTGTGTTGATGTAAGTGTGTCTTGAGCTTTATCCAAAGCTGCTGTGTCTCGGTACTTTTCAGTGTCATGCAGGTTACATCCCCGAACTGTCAGAACTTCAGTAATTAAAAAAATACAGAAATTCTACAAATTTTAAACAGTGATCTTTCCAATGTTTAGGTTTGAATACCGGGATACATTGTCGTAATTGCTTTCTTGAATGCTTTTTCTTTTCATCAGACTTATACGCTGTTTCATGATGTGTTTTTAGTTAGATTGGTATTCCCCCTTCTCCAGTCAGGCCTTTTCCACTCCCCGTCCAAGACAGAAAGTTTTGGTAAAACTTTCTTGGTAATGGGGCCAGCTCGGTAATATCAAAATGTCAGTTGTGCTCAGGATAGGGCAAAAAGCCATAGATTCCTTGCAGGCTTGGAAGAGCCCTCCAAAGAATAAATAGCTTAAATACTGA